TATTATTTCATGATATTTAATAAAGTATTATTGCACTTCGAAAGGCAAAAAATGTAATAAGATATATTTTACATTATTTCTAATAATAGATCAGGAACATTTTTTCATCTCCGGAGAAATTTCACAATAAAAAATTATTTTTAAGAATTCGTACAATTAGACATACAATTAATTTTTACATTGATTACATTAATCAGTTTAAAAAAAAAATTTAAAAATTTCTGTGATCTCATAAGAATTTATTGAACGTTTTTATTGAACTGTTTGAATATGAAAAGAAAAGATAACTTGAAGTGTTTGAATAAGAAACAAAGATAGACATTTTACTCGTTACTCGTATTGTAAATGAATGTAGTGGAGTTTCGGAGGTCTGTTTCGACCTACCTTTTATCAGTATGCGTTCTATTGTTTTTCATGCACTCGACCGCGGTTTCCGCAACTGTGCAGTCGATGGACACCTGTAATGCGTGCTTCCGGTTCCGTGCATGTATTATTACAATATACAATAGCAGAACTAAGGGCCCGATGGGACCTTCAAGAGCAGACCATTCGAATCGTTTTGCTAACTTACTAAAGATCGATTGTGATTATTTTTAACGTTTATTTTAAAAGTCTGCAAATATTCGACAAAGTATTCGTGATAAACGACCGGAAGCGTCAAGGGACTACAGTATTTTGGAGCGGCTTGCAGTTGAGGTAAGTATTAATTATGAAGTAGTGGGGTTATCGTGCTCACGAGGCACGACGACCTCGTGCCTGATGGGCACCAATGTTTCGTGTGAGTAGACAAAACACGAAGTTATATTTTTCGTCAAACGTGCTTCTGTAATGAAAAAGCTGCATCGTACTATATACGTACGTGAGATTTAATATAATTTATTATAATTTATTATAATGCAATATTCGTGTAAATTGTGTAAAGTCAATCTGCAACAAGTTGTAATAATCAGATGTATTGTACGCAGTCAGACAAAAATATTAGAAAAGAAATATCTTATCGCATGCACCAACTATCGCATGCCGTAAAATGCGACACGCTGGTTACACTTGGTCACTGTAAAAAGGAAAAATAAGATTAGGCGTGCACATACCCTCTAGCGACCAGCAGTCTCAGAGCATCTACGTGGCCTTCGAAGGCTGCCCATAATGTCGGGGTCATTCCTCCTTCATCTCGCGTGTTACAATCCTTTCTCGTGGCTTCCTTCAGAACATCCAACGTGCCTTCTTGCGCGGCCCTTCGATAAAGAATAGTCTGCATATTATATTATTTTTTAAGTAAATTATCTGATGTTTTTAGGCTCATGTTTTGTTCCATACGTTGAATTTGAATATTAAAAATACAATAATACAAATATTAATATTTATTTAAAAAATTATTCACAAACAAGTAGAATTATGTGATGTCTGTTGATAAAAAATATTTCATTTATATAATTATTAATTAAATTAATTGCAATTGTTGCAATAATTATTTATTATTATTAAATAATAGCTTATTATTAATGTAATGTATATAAAGAAAAAAAAATATGTAGAAAAATGAAGATAACTGTACATATCTATACAATATACTTCAAATCTGGATAAATTTTAATTGATAGTAAATATTTATTTATTGTATATGCGCAGTATATTTTGCTCTCTTTTCTTTTTCTTCTTATAAGAAAAATATTTTTATTTCTTCAGGATATTTCGGAGTACAGTATTGTGAAAACTGTACCTATTACTTTATCGTGCGATGCATCGCGTGATGCCTTATCTGATTTTAATCAAGTTATTTTTTATAATTATCGTCGCGTTGCTCGAGGAAAAATTGCAAATCTCTGCGCGGGCAAAGAGCTCCGCATAGTATTATATCCACGCGTCTCAACATCTGATAATCCATGGCGGCTCGTGATATTTTAATTAAAGTACTAAAGTGCTTGCAATAACGCGATGCAAGAGCAAATTTTCACATTTTTTTTTTCCTTTTAATTAGGAAAATTGAGATATTAAGGAAAATATGCACGATTTGTCAGGTGAAACAGCAGCTACTTTCAATTCGCCGATATTGCATTCCACGAACTGATTTCAGCGTATCGTTTCACATTACTTCATCAATGTCATCGAGTTATAACATTAATCTTCTGTTATCCTAAACAATGTAATTTCATACAAGCTATAATAAAAACATATTATACAAATTTAATGTATTATAATTTTTCTTTGTATTTCTTAATTTTAGATGGTAAATTGTATTTGAAATAAAATAAAAGATTTTAAAAAATTTGATGAGAATATGTAAGAGCAAAAAATGTAAATTTTTTGCTCTTACATATTCTCATCAATTCTTACCATTTTCAGATTTAATTACGAAATTCAACTTAAATAACTAAACTCGGATATTCCTTTTTAAAAACTATTAAATTAATTATTAAGAATTCATACATTTTGAGAAAAACCAGTTTTGTGAATTAAAAATCAATTTTAATAAAAAAATATTCGAAATTCGATAGAGAAATATAAACGTATTGTGTAGTATTCAGATTTTTTTCATAAAATTAATACATAAATCGCACAATGTACAGCATTCTCTATTGCTACGAAAGTTGATTAGGTCCGCTAGAAATTTTTACAAATGATCTGTGTGATAAATTCCTGTAGTGAATGAAATAAGAGCACTAGTCTCCTCTCATGCATGAATTCCGCACGCGCTCTTCCTATGTACATACATGATACAATCCACATGAAACAGTCCATAATCATGATTATTTTATGCTCGTAGATAATTATTCGAAATCTCTTAATTTTTTTATTTAATAAACTGTATTTATTTGAGGATCATCATATCTCTCTCTTATCTCTCTGTCCAACTGATATTTTATAATAATATTTTTAACGTTGTAAAAACACAATGTATTAATTATGTATAATGTGCTTCCATTTATTCCGACAGCTCATTGCACTTCGTGATTATAAATACAAATAAAATTATAAATTCGATTCGGTTCACGTCTTCTCATTTTGTTCCAGTTGCTTGATAAACGTTGATCCAATTTCCGTGATGAGATAGAGCGATTATCATTAATTCGTGTGAATCGTTCAATTTATTTGAATCGTATATATTGTTAAAAAATTTTTCGACGCTTCTACATGACGCTGGAACGAAATTTTAATTCATACATTATGAAAGAACTATGCAACATAAGAAATATCGAACTATACTAAGAATTTATATATTAGAGAGGTAATGATTACTTATTTTGAGTAAAAGCATCGTTGTTTAGTGATTTTAATACTCAAAGTAAGTAATTATCATTCCAATATTAAATTTCTGTAAGCGTTAAATGTTGTATTACTTTATTCACATTTTAGTGTAAAATAGTGTTAAGAAAAAGATTACAGTATATTAAAAAAAATCTTACAAGATTTACAAATCAGATACAATTTTTTTAATTTTAAAAGTTTTTAACTTTAAAAATTTTTTAATTGAACTTTTTGCACGATTCATCTTTTTTTTTTGGAGAAGGAAAAAACAATTTGATTGGACGCGATTAAACGCGATTACGCACTGTATATATAATATAAATTAAAATCGTTGTACACTGTTTTAATTTTGTGAGTGCAAAAGTAAAAAAAAAATTGCAAATTATATTCGAATTATAAAATATATATTTTCAAACTCTAAAATATATTTTATATAACACAATAATGTATTGAGGATTTCACGATTTAACCGGTTTCTATATTTGTATTAAACACATCTTTATGTCAATTTGTGTACGCTTTAATGTGAACCAGTTAACACTGAGTGTGACCAATCGAATTCGCTACAAGATTAATTTTCTTGATTCAATTTACTCTTAATCTTGTAATATCCGTTTCTATCAATGTAGATTAACTTTAATTTCGGTTTAATTTACTCCTTATTCTTTTCTAATTCTTTCTCCTTTTCTAATTCTAGAACTAGAAAACAATAGAAAGTAAGTTAAATCAAAATTAAAATTAATCAAAATTAAAATTAATCAGTTTAAACGGCACAATTCTAAAAATTAAGAAAAAAAAAATAAATAGTAAGTTAAATCAAGTTAATCTTACATTAGCAAAAAGAACAAACCATATTCATGAAGTGTATTTAGTTGTTTTTCCCGTGTTATCGCATCCGCTTCGCGCGATCGGCTCTGTGCCGTCAGACTCGGCAATATTTTTTTCAATCTCAAGGCGAGTACCTCGCTCCACAGCATTTCTACGCTTTCCGGGACAAGTCCTACGGGCGAGCGTGTACGAAAACAAAAGCAGAGGAAGAATCGGAAGAAAGAGAGAGCGACAAAGAGAAAACCGCGTGCGGCATCCTCTTAATAAAGAATAGAAGAAAAAAGAAGACAAGTGCACTCACTTATGAAATCGTTCGGATGACATTTCGCGCGCGTCCCTCGCTGTTCCGCGAATCCGGCTATTCGGACAGCATCGTCCGTGACCCTAGGAGAGACGCTCGGAAAGGATCCTAATAGAGAATTCGGTGAAAAAAAAAAGAGAAGAAACGCGCAAGGAAACGACAGCGACAGTACGATGCCGAGATGGGACGGCGGTGCACTGCTCGAACGAGCGCGAGTTACATGAGTTACACCTGGGGGCCCCTGGCGCGGTCCCCCGCACGGTCCCCATCCTTTGGCTCTGGCTGTTCCGCTTCGCTCCGCCACATCGATAACCTTACCTCTCGCTCGCGCGACGCACCGCGCGATTTGCCGCCACCTGCGATCGTACGGGCACCGCGTCCGCCACCTGGAGTTTGTCCTGCAAAACTCCCCGAGTCAACGAACGGCTTGGATTCAAATCGCGAGAGCGCCCGCTGACGCGGCGCGGCGCGGCGCCAGCACTGTATCGTGTAATTTGGCCACATTTTGATGAAAATTAGGTCGAGTTCACTCAAAGATGAATTGCGCAGATATAGTAATTTTTCTGATATTTTGAGTCGGAAAGAACGTTTTATGTTTTCTTTTTTTAAGAAGGAAGTCGATAGGAATGGCAACGTTTAGCCGTTAGCTTGACTCGTATTGTACGGGGTGAAGTTGCCGCCGCTTCGTGATTTCTCGTCATTTCTCGTCACTTCTCGTTGTCATTAATACATCGCGGATGCAGAACGGATCGATTCCGAATCAGGCGGTATTATGCGAGTCTAATTAGTAAGTTGCAGTCATTACTAAGTTTGTATTGTGATATTTAATTGACGGCAATCATTTGGTATAGATTCGACGTGAAACGGTGATTTGTCGAAATTGTAATTCGATCGGGATTCAGCGCCATTCCGCGCGTCAATACTGACAAAGTAAAATTCTATACTTACCACGATATATTTTAGTTATGTCAATATAATCACTAAACTGATTTTGTAGTGGTAATTTTAAAAAGTTACACTACAAAATCATCAGTTTAGTGATTAACTATAGCTAAAAAAATACAATCTTTATATTTTCATCAAATTAAGAGCGGGAACACAGTTTTGTCTAATGCACACGAAAATGAAACATCGAAATCTTTTGTTTTCTTTTTTTCCATGTTGGATTTTCTACAATACACTGTTAGTTCAGATCTATAATAGGTGTTTTAAGCCCTAAGAAATTGATCAATTACAATTGAATGCGAGGAGAATAATCGACTGTGATTCGTCCGTTTCTTATATAGTTTAAGACTTAAAAATTTATTGTTGATCCAGATTTATCAAAGCTTAAGTCTTAAACCATATGAAATTGATCAGTCACAATCGAATGTCAAAGAATAATTGGCTATGATTAGTCGATTTCTTAATTTCTTCTTGACTTAAAATTTAAAAGTTTATTGTAGAAAGTCTGATTAATAAAATAAAAGATCGATTTTCTTATGCCTTATTATAAAATAAAAGACTGATTTATTTTCTTATGTGTTACGTCTTATGCAAGAATCTGTGCTTTTGCGCTAATACTCGTTTTACAATAAGCCATTAATAATAAATCAGAAGTTAAAAGTTAGAAATTGATCAATTTCAATGGAATATGAAAAGAATAATTGATTATGATTGGTTAATTTCTAGCTTCTGTTTTCTGATTTATTACTTATTGTAGAATGTAAGTCTGGGCTTTCTACAATAAGTTATTACCTAAGTTTTAAGTCTTAAGCCAGAGAAATTGATCGATTTCTCATGGCTTAAGACTTAAGCTTAGATAATGTTAAATTATTGCAGAAAGCTTGTTGCAACAAGTTAATTAAAAAATGAAAATCGGGCCTAAAATTTATAGATGCGATGATGTAATATTTCAAAAGCTCAATGGAAAAATCTTCTTGAAATATATTTTTGAATAAATTTTGTTGATAATAATTTCGTTATTGCACGTTGAATGTACAACAGTTTTATCAGAAAAACTTCGCGCGATCATAGGACTGATTTACAGTATATTGCACCGATATGATTATTCAAAATAATGTATGATAGTTTTGTTAACTCCGCTTCGACTATAATATCTTATTCATACGACTGATTTTCAGATTGATTATGAATTAATTTTAATATGTAAACGTAATTAAACATAATTTTGATTATATTTTTTATTAGAATTTTTAAATTAATTGATTTATTAAAAAAACAAATAAAAATTTAAATTAGAATATGTAATTGTATATTTTCAAATATTAATACAAATATTTTAATCACTGTTATAATTTCAATATGTTTGCTTGTTACAGATTTACGTCGTATTACAACTTTCCTGCTGCATATCGTGTGTCGGTGAGTGTAATGCCTCCTCTTATCTTATAGCGAATTCGATTGAGCATACTAATGTGTACTGATGCATTTGAATT